GCATAGCTAACGCCATGCCGGGCAGCGAAGGATTCCCTCAGGTAGGAGGGTCACTGGGCGGGCGCGGCCAGGGCGCATCTTCCCCTACCTGTTCTTCTGCGGCAGGAGGGAGGGGCCAAAGGATTATCCTCCCGTTCCCTCTCGCTCTCGGCTTAGAAGGCGGCCGCCTCCCAAGACGTCGCGCCACTGAGCATGGCCTCGACCATGATCGGCAACGAGAGGGTTAAGTAGTCACTATTCCTAAGCTTTAGTGTAAATATTTGCTTTTAGTTATAATATTTGATTCTCAAAGCGTGGGGCGCTGTAACAGGAAAGACTTTTTGTATAACTTGCTGAGAAATCAAATTAAGCGATGTTATATTAGAACAAAAATCTTTTCAACAGTTTCTGTAACAAGACCTATTTCTAAACAACTAAGTAAGTTCATACAACTACTCAAATCTCCACGGGTATGTTTGGCACTTACGCACCAAGCTAGAGATATCAATGTTGTCCTACTGCTTAATTATGAAAGTTGTGTCATATAACTCACCAACGAAACGACCCTTATGAAGTAAAACTAGCAAAATGCCTTTTCCCTTTTAGAAAGTACCTAAACAAACATAAGTTGAGGGGTGATTAATCACTGAGTGATCAAGGTTCGTTTACTTAGCGTCAATATAATATCGATAAAGTTATCGAGAAACTATAACCAATTATGAAATTGAAAACCAATTCTTAATATTTTTTTTCTGTAATAAGGCTTTCTGTTCAAAAAAACCCAAAAGGATTGCACAAATCTGGATTGAAGGGGAGCGGAGATTTTGTGCAATCCTATTGGTTAATATTTCTCCGTTTAGCCACTGCGCAGCCTCGCTTCGCTCCAGTGGACAGGCAGCCTTATCATCAAGAAGAGATGACTGGCATATTATTTGATGGAAGTTGACCTCAACACATGTTTGCAAGTTTGATGTCAACTTTCAATTGGACGACACTATGAAATAAAACAGGGAGAAAAAAACAGCTCTTGCTGAGTTTCTTGCCGATTCTTCTCGGTACAAGGTCTCCTGCCGTATATTTGCGAACCGATGGCGTAGCTTTTCGACATTCACAAGTGCTTTTAACAGTCTTGACTGAATAAATTATATTGAATTTGAATTTAGACAACGTGGAAGATGATATTACAAAAACAATTGTGTGCACGGACCACACAAGTGAAGAGAAAATAATATTCTTAAATAACCTAACATTATGCGGTGCATAAGGCATAGTGGGATAGAGCAGTGCACGCATCACTCATATTTACGCACGTCACAAACAAAAGGGTATTATCTTCAAAAACAGTGTTACGAGATATCGCGTTTTAAATTTTAAAAAATCATAGAAGCGGAACTACTTGTTCAAATGTTTAAAATGATAAATTGATTTAAACGTACATTATCCTTCTTCGTGTTGAGTAAGTTTAGTTAGTGTATCAATAGTAGTTTTTATTTCAAAAGTACTTTTATGTGACTGGGTAAAGATAACACATGCCATTTGAACTGCTCATACAGTTCAAATGGCTCAAATGGCTCATGTTAAAATTAAAACTAGTATTATTTTAAAATAATTTCGCTGAATATAACATATGAAATAAAATTGAACAGGCCAGAGGGTATGATTTTAAATAAAACTTCAAACTTGTATTAATCCGAACGGGCAATAGGGTATTAACTTAATACTGTTTAGAATACTCACAATCATAAATTTTGCCTAGAAATTGACGACATGTATTGCAATAATTTCAAAACTATTTCGAATTAAAATACAATTATCTGACCACTTTATAGAGAAAAAAATTCAGTTTTCGAAACGCAAATAAAAAAATTTATGGTTTTGCCGACTTAATACCCTATCGTTTGTGACGTGATTATATTGTCGCGTATGACGCTCGTGATGCTCCACATGGCGAAATTCGTGTTATGGCTGTAATGAAAACGCGCACGACGCGTTGTGGAAATCACAGAAAGACCAAATAGTGAAATTCGTGTCGTGGTTGACATGCTATTCGATCTCAACGCGTTGTGGCAATGAAGAAAAGCCATGACGCGTCCTGAGCATTCATTGTTTTAACCATATCACGACGGACTGGTTGTAAGTTGATAGAGGACGTGCAGCACCCAGGAATGTTATGTGTGTTGTTATGAGCATCAATCCATCAGGTCTCTACCAGTTAGGAAACAAGGAAAGTACTTTCGGCAGACTTTTTGCACGTAATGAGTTTACACTTTCTGAAACCAACTTTATTAACATTTGTGATGTGCCCTCAACTTCGTCATTCACACTTCGCTCAGCATCTATGTTATTATCTGGAAGTAAGCATGGGTTTATAATGTGCCACGGCAAAAGTTACTGTATTGATAAAAAGTGCAAGTGTCGCTCCAAGAATATAAAATGCAACTCAAAATGCCACAGTAATAGTTCCTGTAAAAATAAATAGCAACAAATACTTATTTTTCACAATTATAGTAATTTCTAATATAAGTAATTGATTTAAGTACATTGTTGTTGTTTATTGGTGATCAATAAACATTTATGTTTGTGTTAAATATTTTTAATACTTGAAATAATTTTAAACTGTCATAAAAAATTAAAATCCCTAATTATTTTAAGTGAATTATAAGTAATTTACAAATGATTAATATTTTGTGTTCAGTAATTTATTACTTAATACGTTGATTTTTAAATATAAAATAATCTCAATAAATAACAAATATCGTTTTATTTTAATTTATATAATTATATAACATATTTAATAGTGACAAACGCGTTATACAGTGATTTTATAAAATAAAAAATATTTCCTAAAGACATCTATCTACCAAAACGTTTCCAGCCTAGGCAGTAGGATCCATATCGGAAAGTAGTGTGCGTCGTAATCAAATAATATTCCATACGCGTAATGGCTTTTCTTCATTGCCACAACGCGTTGAGATCGAATAGCATGTCAGCCACGACACGATTTCGCTATTTGGTCTTGGTCTGTGATTGCCACAACGCGTCGTACGCGTTTTCATTAGAGCCATAACACGAATTTCGCTATGCGTTTGTTTTACTGTGACCACAACGCGTTGTGAGCTATTTTTCCGCTCACTGAGCGTTTTCGATCTTTGAGCGTAACATATATACACAGTCAGGTCATAAGTATTGTCACACAGTAAAAACTTTTCTTTTAGAATGCTGGCCACAAAAAGTTTATTGAATTTGAATTTCGAATTGTTCATGAAAATAAAAATGTATATTTTTTAGAATTTTACTCATTTTTAAATATGGAGTGGCCACTTAAAGAAGACCGTGTTGCAGTTATTGCGTTGCATTGTTGCGGTTACGCGCCAATTCAAATTTTTGACATACTGAAAATTTTGAATATAACCGAAAGATTCGTTTATCGTAACATCAAACGATACAATGAAGACTCTAGTATAGATGACAGGTCAAGAAGTGCCCTCGGTCTGATAAGACTCCAGCAGTGATAAAAGCTGTGAAGGCGCGAATTCAAAGGAATCCCAAACTTAAGCAGAAACTGTTGGCTCTTCAGATGGGGTTAAACAGAACCACGGTGAAAAGGGTATTAAATGAAGACTTAGGGCTTCGGGCATATCGAAGAAAAACAGGACATCGTTTGAATGCTCGTCTAATGGACTTGAGACTGAAGAGATGCCGCGCTTTGTTGAAGCGGTACGCGGGAAAAAAAATCGGAAAATTCTTTTTTCGGATGAAAAAATTTTTACCGTAGAAGAGAGCTACAACAAACAAAATGATAAGGTGTACGCACATAGTAGTGAAGAAGCGAGCAACCGTATTCCTCGTGTCCAACGAGGTCATTTTCCATCCTCGCTCATGGTATGGTTGGGAGTTTCTTATTGGGGCTTAACAGAGGTACATTTTTGTGAGAAATGTGTAAAAACGAATGCAGTTGTGTATCAAAATACAGTCCTGACGAACCTTGTGGAACCTGTTGCTCACAGCATGTTCAATAACAGGCACTGGGTATTCCAACAAGATTCGGCGCCAGCTCATAGAGCGAAGAGCACACAAGACTGGCTAGCGGCGCGTGAAATCGACTTCATCCGGCACGAAGACTGGCCCTCCTCCAGTCCAGATTTGAGTACGTTAGATTACAAGATATGGCAACACTTGGAGGAAAAGGCGTGCTCAAAGCCTCATCCCAATTTGGAGTCACTGAAGACGTCCTTGATTAAGGCAGCCGCCGATATTGACATGGACCTCGTTCGTGCTGCGATAGACGACTGGCCGCGCAGATTGAAGGCCTGTATTCAAAATCACGGAGGTCATTTTGAGTAAACTTTATTGTCATAAGAATCTATGTTTTGTTAAGTTCATTTTGGTATATACATGGTCACATAATGAATAAACTTGTTTCAATTATTTTATATTAAACACGTGACAGAATTTATGACCTGACTAGGTATAGTCGTGTGACGCTCTTGACGCATTTCCATTTTATCTTTTCCTTAAGATTTATCCGAAAAGAAGTTTCACTTTAAAAAGGAGTAAATGTTGAGATCAGCCATCACTCACGTCTAATTCTCATTTTTTTGTTATACACACTCACAAGGGGAATGCTTTGTTTGAGTTTGGACTCTACTTTCTTCCACTTAACATCAAGAAAAGAGACATTTGGATATATAATTTAATCAATTCGCGCAGACGACACCATTTGTTTCTCTTTAATTGAACTAGTTGTTGCCCGCGAATTCGTCTGCGTGGAAAAATGGTTTCTCATACAAACTGCCACTCCTATTATCACCCCCTTAAAGGATTATTTCTGAAATAAAAACTATCCTTCCCCGGGACTCAATCTATCTCTGTACCAAATTTCATCTATTTTGGTTTAGCGGTTTAAGCGTGAAGAGGAAGCTTTTATAATATTAGTACAGAAACATGGATATACCTATAATATTATAGTAAGTTAAAGATTAGAACTAATAGCATGTCATTTATTTTTATACTTGTTTCAGGGATCTCAGATGTCTAAGGAACACAATACACACAAATCTCATGTCAACATACATTCTATCAGCGTGTAGTTGGATTTTAAATTTAGGTTTACAGGTGAGTTATTTATAAATTTAATAACTATTTACAGCAGTAGCACTAGCACGAACCATTATCGAATTCGAATGGTTTGCGAGTCTGAAATGTCATAGCCAAATGTGTACTGATTTTTATTTCTCGTTACGCACTTTGAGGCGTTGCTGTTCAAGTTTCCATACAAAATTTGACATTGACATTTCTCACTCGCAAACTATTCGAATTCGATAATGGTTCGTGCTACTACACGTTACTACTACGTTCGTACTACAGCAGTGCTATAGTAGGGAGCCCTAACGGGTATTTTGGGATTTAATCCAGCGTGGCAGAATAACATAAGGTAGGCAACCTTGCGTGTTAACAATATTTTTCCGTCATCAGGAACGTTACGTGAACAGAATAGGAGCTACTGGAGAAGCTCCTATTCAATAGACTGACGATTTGGATCCGACCAAGAGTCTGGCCTTTTCTTTATTTTTTGCAGTCCTGGTCATAGCCATATCTATATATATAAAACTCAAAGGCGACTGACTGACTGACATAGTGATCTATCAACGCACTGCCTCGAACCACTGGACGGGCTGAAATTTGGCATGCAGGTAGATATTATGACGTAGGCATCCGCTAAGAAAGGATTTTGATCAATTCTACCCCCAAGAGGATAAAATAGGGAATGAAAGTTTGTATAAAACTTTGTCAATTTTAAACCGATCGGGCTGACACTTTGCATGCAGGTATAAGAAGAATCATAGATGAATGTCATTGTGTATAATACAAGCCTAAGAACAAAAACTGTAGTCTACACTTCAGCTCTACACCGAAGCGAAGCGAGGGCGGGCTGCTAGTCCCACATAAAGGGATATGGCTATAGCAAGGTATGATTACAAGGTGCAAGGTTGCACCCCTTATGTTATTCTGCCGGGCTCGAGTAAACCCCAAAATCCCCGCTTGGACTCTCTTGATAAAATTCTGTTCATTTCTACCTCAGAATCAGACAAAGTCACATTCTACCTCAGAATCCGCGGTGTAAATGAAAATTGGAACACGAATCTATATATATATATATAAATAAATCGTCGAAAAGTTTGTATACGCATCACTTCCAAACGTCTGAAGCAAATTGAATAATTCTTATTTTATTGAGTTCGTAATTGTCAGGACAAGGTTTCTATAAAAGAAAATTTTCAAAAAAATTCACACAATTAATATTTTAAAAATAAAGTTTATTACATGTTTTTATTCCGTCATCTTCCGCAGTTGACAACTCACACAAGACTCGTATGAGTCATTACTGTTCTTAATCTTTGAACTTAAGTAATTTAATTTTGCTAAGCGGAATACATTTTTAAACAATTTGCAATAGTTACGAACATGCTCTTTAAATGTTTCACTAGTACCTAAGTGTCCTTCATTATAAAGTTCATAAAGTGTTCTTCTACTTTTATGAATTCCAGGCGTAGTCCACTTACTAATAGTTGCCGCCTCATTAACGCATATTTTTTGGGTACAAAAACATTACGAAATTCAGTGCAGTACACAGGGTGGCCAAAAAGTCGTGAATTAAACGAAAAAGGAAGATAAAGAAGTTAATTTCAAACAAAAAATCTTTCTCCAGTATGGCCATAACTTCATTGCACGAAAAGTTATGAATATTTTTGTTTTTTTCAATGAAACTACCGAGTTTTTTTTAATAATTTAATGAATAAAAAAAAAGTTTTTTTCCACATCGTGCTCTTAAACTGAGATGTAAGTTTTTGTAACGCTTCAAACTTAACGGATAAACATTCATTACTCGTTAATTTGATGCCAACAGCTCCAATACATTTTTTGTAGTATTGATACATTATTATCCAGTCATAATACATCACCTTTTGTTTTACTGTTTTTAAACAATTTATTTTAATATTGATTAAATTGTTAAAAAAACTCGGTAGTTTCATTAAAAAAACAAAAATATACATAACTTTTTATGCAATGAAGTTCTGGCCAAGCTGGAGAAAGATTTTTTGTTGGAAATTCCCTCCTTTATCTCCCTGTTTCGTTTGATCCACGACTTTTTGACCACCCTGCATCTTAAAAAAAACATTATATAAATCATTTAGACTGTCTTTATATTTTATATAACACATTTTTCTATCTAATTGATTTTTAAAACGTTTCACACGATTAGCCGATTTTGGTACAATAGTGATGAGTTTTCTGTCACCTGCTTGAGCTGATACGGAAATGAAATCAACTGGCCAATATGATTACTATCTAGTTTATTATTTATTTATTTTTTCTCAGTTATATATTATCAATACAAATGGCCGAAGTGGCAACTATTCTAGTAGGCTCAATGAATAAGTTTCTCAGATAGTATGATTGAAATATATTTTTTATTATAGTATACATACTAGATTTTTCTAAAAAATCAATATTAAGTCACCACAAACAATCAACCGTTTGCCTGTAGTGTAAGTTTCTTTTAAGAACTTCATATATAATAGCTTCAAAACAATCATACAATGCTGATAGAGTTCTGTATACGCTCAATACAACAAGCCGGTCCAGTTCCACACAGGCAATTTCTATTGTTCGCTCAACCGAGAGGCTCACAATATCTCTTTGGTCCTTAAATTTTAGCTTTTATTCAATAATTTTAGAGAGCTACCTTGAAAGCATTTTCTCGATTGACCAAACTACCAACCTGATGATTATTAAAATTAAATATATTCTGATTACTTTTAAGCCAGTGTTCTGTAATACAAAAAATATAGATTTTTGTGCATATTTTTGTTATTACAATTCATGAATAAAATATCATTGAAATTGGCCACTGTTCATGAGAAATTTAATATTGGGGTTGCAGTTGCTTTTTCAGGAATAACGGGCATATTGTTTGAAAAAATGTAGATACAGAAGATTAAGGTGTTTCGTGGGCGGAATGATTTTACTTTCTAAAGATTGCCGCAAAACAGTGACAGTTATTCTAAGATCGACTACTGCCAATGAAATAAGGGCTTGCCTCTGTTAATCAATTTGTAGCCCCATGTAATGAATTTTCTACAGACAGTAGATATAAGAGTTACATTGCTGATCGATCAATCCATAGAAGATTCCTCCAAACAATTGCTAACTATGGTAATCGTAACTATCGTTATAGATGTGTTGCTGTCGAACGGATAGCTTTAATTTTTTCCAAATTATTGTAAGCAGTACGAAGTTTTTCGGATCAGCTAATTTCAAATAAATTTAACATCGCACCGGGCGTTTTCGAAGTGAGTTCAGGCAAAGTGAATTTCCAAAAGTATAGGGTTGCACAATAGGGTTTTGTAGTTTGGCGTTTTAAGAGTATTGTAGTATTATTTTATAACGGAGATAATAAGCTACTGTTTTTACGTGCCATAATATCGAATATTAAAAAGTGTGTTGGTCGATAGACACTTAAGTATGAACACTTGTGTAAGCTAAAGAAGAGGCACGTGCCTTTTTACCCGGCTCCGGAGGTTAATGTATTTCGAGCGTATGTATGTCCATATCTTAAATTATAAAAACCCGCCTGCTTAAAAATTAAGTTGAAATAAAATGTGGAAAGAAAAAAACAAGTTTAGTAGTCTATAATTCTGTTATAACAAAGCTATTTTAACAATCGGGGCCCATTAGATATTAAGAAAGATTCGTAAGGCCTAATTGAGTTTTTTTTGTTTTCCGTTATTTTTCTATAATCTTTTTCATTTCGTAGTTTAGTAAGAGATCAACTAATTTCTTATGTCAATATAATATTTTTCTTTAGATTTTAAGGGATAAATTACAATTTACCCAATTGATTCGATTTTTTTTTACTTCAATTAATAATATTATTTAAAACGCTAATTAGGGCGTTAACGTAGGCACCTATCTTTAAATTTAAACATACGAGAGGAGGTCAAAAAGTTCGCGGAATAAGAGGAAAGGAGGTTTTTCCTTCAAGCTTTTTTCCTTTAACCCTAATACTTTTTTCAGATCTCTCAAACGACTTGTTTATACTATCGAAAAAAAATGATTTGTCTTTTGTGTCAAAATAGGCCGAAATTGCGGACTTCACTTCTTCATCGTCGTCAATTTTTTTTCCACGCAGCTTTCTTCATTTTTGGAAATAAATAATAGTCACTGGATGCCAAGTCTGGACTGTAGGGTGGATGGTTCAATTGTTCGAAGCCGCATCGCTGAATGGCAGCCGTCGCAACAGAGCACGTGTGAACGGGTGCATTGTCGTGCTGAAGGAGCACACCTTTTGACAGCTTTCCTCTTCTTTTTTCCTTGATGGCAATGTTTCCAGTAAAGAAGCGTAGTACTGTCCCGTTATAGTCACACCACGTTCTTTATAATCGATCAGTAAAATACCTTCTGTATACCAAAAGACAGTCGCCATGATCTTGCCAGCCGATTGTGTCACTTTGAACTTCTTTGGAGGAGGTCTGCCTTTTTTATGCCACTGCATCGACTCTTGCGGTGAACCCAGGTTACATCACTAGTAACGATTCGGGCCATAAATCCTTTCTTTCTCTGAGCTCCAAAAACTGGCAAAAACACTCAACACGCTCGCGTTTTTGAAGTGCCGTTAGCATTCTCGGAACCCATCTTGCACTGACCTTAGTCATCCCAAGATGATGATGTAGAATATTCAAAATACTTGTTTCGCATACTCCAATCATTGCTGCAAGCTGCTTCTTCTTCAACCGGGCATCTTCCAATACAACTTTTTCGACGATTTCCGGTGTGGTGGCCTCAATTGGCCGTCCGGAGCGGGGGTCGTCTTCAATGGACTCTCTTCCTTGTTTAAAAAGATCATGCCACTTGTTTACCATGGTTTTACCAGGGGCAGAGTCCGCGTAAACCACCAACAACTGTTGAAAAATAATCTGAGCGGATTTTCCTTGCTTGGTAAGGAACTTAATAACGGCGCGGTGTTCAATTTTCTCAATACTGGCAGACTTCTTCAGTTGTTTGCAGGTCGATAACTCAAAAGTTAATGACCTGATTAGGTTCAAACTTGGTAT